TTAAATAGGATATAAAAAATTGTTTTGAAAGACATATTAAATTTATAATATATAATATGAGAAACTTTAACAACAATCTCCAATTTCGGAATAAAAATAGGTGACATTAATTATTGATCTATGTTGCAAAAATAAGTTAGTGATTTTTTATAATATTTTGTATAATTATAATATATTTAAATTTTAAAGTCTCATTGCTTCAAAATGGTCAAACATAATTCTAAATAAATCAATTATTAATACACTTCCTATTTATAGTCCATTAATTATTTGGTGATACTGTTAATGATTTTTCATAATAAGTGAGAGCAATTTCATATTGTTATAAATCTTCTAACAATAATCCTTTAATATAAAATTAAATAGATACCTTATTCATTAAGTGAAAACGTATCATTAGGATTAATTTGGAGGGCTTAATCTATGTATTTCGCAGAATTATCGAATCTCTTCAGTTTTCTTAAACATGAACCTAATAAATCAATTCAAATTGAATCTACCTTTATTCTATAAAGACAAAACATGTTTAGGATCGACAAATAATGCTTTGTCTAACCAAGTAATTGCATCCTCATATCTCTCCAACATTTTTAAACATTAACCTAATAAATCAATTCAAATTCAATCTACCTTTACTCCATAAAGACAAAACATGTTTAGGATCGACAAGTAATGCTTTGTCTAACCAAGTAATTGCATCCTCATATCTCTCTAAAAGTCTTAAACATTATCCTAATAAATCAATTCAAATTAAATCTACCTTTATTCTATAAAGACAAAACATGTTTAGGATCGACAAGCAATGCTTTGTCTAACCAAGTAATTGCATCCTCATATATCTCTAACATTGTTAAACATGAACCTAATAAATCAATTCAAATTAAATCTACCTTTATTCCATAAAGACAAAACATGTTTAGGGTCGACAAGTAATGCTTTGTCTAACCAAGTAATTGCATCCTTATATCTCTCTAACATTGTTAAACATTAACCTAATAAATCAATTCAAATTAAATCTACCTTTATTCTATAAAGACAAAACATGTTTAGGATCGACAAGTAATGCTTTGTCTAACCAAGTAATTGCATCCTCATATCTCTCTAACATTGTTAAACATTAACCTAATAAATCAATTCAAATTAAATCTACCTTTATTCTATAAAGACAAAACATGTTTAGGATCGACAAGTAATGCTTTGTCTAACCAAGTAATTGCATCCTCATATCTCTCTAACATTGTTAAACATTAACCTAATAAATCAATTCAAATTAAATCTACCTTTATTCTATAAAGACAAAACATGTTTAGGATCGACAAGTAATGCTTTGTCTAACCAAGTAATTGCATCCTCATATCTCTCTAACATTGTTAAACATTAACCTAATAAATCAATTCAAATTAAATCTACCTTTATTCTATAAAGACAAAACATGTTTAGGATCGACAAGTAATGCTTTGTCTAACCAAGTAATTGCATCCTCATATCTCTCTAACATTGTTAAACATTAACCTAATAAATCAATTCAAATTAAATCTACCTTTATTCTATAAAGACAAAACATGTTTAGGATCGACAAGTAATGCTTTGTCTAACCAAGTAATTGCATCCTCATATCTCTCTAACATTGTTAAACATTAACCTAATAAATCAATTCAAATTAAATCTACCTTTATTCTATAAAGACAAAACATGTTTAGGATCGACAAGTAATGCTTTGTCTAACCAAGTAATTGCATCCTCATATCTCTCTAACATTGTTAAACATTAACCTAATAAATCAATTCAAATTAAATCTACCTTTATTCTATAAAGACAAAACATGTTTAGGATCGACAAGTAATGCTTTGTCTAACCAAGTAATTGCATCCTCATATCTCTCTAACATTGTTAAACATTAACCTAATAAATCAATTCAAATTCAATCTACCTTTATTCTATAAAGACAAAACATGTTTAGGATCGACAAGTAATGCTTTGTCTAACCAAGTAATTGCATCCTCATATCTCTCTAACATTGTTAAACATTAACCTAATAAATCAATTCAAATTCAATCTACCTTTATTCTATAAAGACAAAACATGTTTAGGATCGACAAGTAATGCTTTGTCTAACCAAGTAATTGCATCCTCATATCTCTCTAACAGTCTTAAACATTAACCTAATTATAATTTATTATGATCAATACCTTTGCGCCATTTTGCTTCATAGTTATTTGGATCTAATTAAATTGATTTATCTAATAATTTTATTGATTCATCATATTTTAATTCCTTAGCTAAATTAATACCTAAAGATGTATTTGATGTAATACCTTGATTATACATTTCTTTTGATTATTTGATTTCATTATCATTTATTAAATAATAATCAAATGATAATAATTGTAATTAATCATATAAATTATTAAAAGTATTACCTAATTTTTTAATCTAATATGGGACGATTGTTGTTATTGATTATTTAAATTCTGTAAATTTTATAGTTGAATTCAAGAAATCATTTATTTATTATGAATTCAATTACAATAATCTTTCTTTTAATAGAGAATATTTTCTATTGATTCCCTCTTTATATTATGAGTATGATTGATTTACACTTTCTACTAATTTATTAAGATCATTAATTAAATTATCACATTCCTTGTTTTGCATTTCAATATATTCTATCAAACTGTTTATTTTTTCAACATCATTAAGATGAGCATGATGGATCCCCTTCTTCATACATTTAAAACAATTTAATCTGAATTCTGCGCAACCCAAATTATAACAAATACTATCTATATCATCCTAATGATCATCTTTCTAACATTTTAACTTTTAAATTCCTTATTAACCCATTTTTTTAATATATCTTATTTCACAATATATAATTAATACTTATATATTAATATATTATTAAAATTATTTTACAACTTGCTAAAAATTATTACATCTATGAACAAAAATCATGACAATTTAATCAAATATGATCATCAAGATTGTAATTTAAGAATTGTTTTCTATGGAAATTTTGGCTTGGCTTTATGTAAATCAATTATTTAATGAAAGCTTTCACTGAATTTGAAATGAGAATGAAGTTAATCTTTATTAAATATTCATAAATGTAGGATTCAAATGAATAAAAACATAAAAAGAATAAAATATGAATTATAGTGGGTCATAGTCTTTAAAAAATTCTTTTTGTATTTTTGTAGAAGTCTCTGAAAATAATTAAGAATGAAGCTAAAGTATATCATTTTAAATAAAACTAAACAGAAATAAAATAAAAAAAAGATAATTATTGAAAACTCTTTGGGAAACATTTGGTTATATAATGAGTTAGCAGATTTTGCTAATTATCTATGTCTTTGTTATTAAAATGGTACATTTATTAATACCCATAATAAGAAGAATTTCTTACAAATAAAGCGCTTAATGATTCAACTTATTGTCTAAGCTATTCTTAATTTTATAAATTGATCATAAAAACATTATTTATTGTATTAGTATAACTCTTTTTATCGAAATTTTATCTGAAAAATATAAAATCTATATAAATAGAGGGCTTATTTTTTGTAATATTTTTTCTGTTTACAGCAATTTGCAAATCATATTCTGATTTTTCTAATTATAATTAATTAAATCCATTGATGTTTATTATTATTATCAAATCTAAATAGTAACTCATTAAAGCAAAAATCTGCTTAAATATACAGAAATCTGATGATTTATAATAAAAAAACTTATTCCCATATTTACAAAATATTTATTAGTATAAAGATCATCCTTTCATAATTATTCCCTTAATTATAAAGAAATCTCAGCAAGTATAGAGAATATTGTTTGATAGACTTTATTATTCTCTTTTCTTGTTTATCAACTCCATATATTATAGATAATTTACAATTACGTTAAGTTTGATAACAATATTTTTGATAATTAAAGCAATCAAATATACATATATTAGAGTTTTCTTTGAAATTGGAGATATAATATCAATACATTTAATAGGCTACAATAATTCTAATTATGCTCATATTATTAGCAAATACCTATTTAAAAATTTCAATTTATCTAAACTACAATTTAATAACCATAAATATATATATCCACACGATCTACCTTCTGTGGATCTTCTTTTTTAGCAATATGCCATTTTATTTTAAGTTTGTAGATGGAACAGGATTGCTGTTATGACTTACTTCTGAGTTAGAGTTAGCGTTGGACAATTAAAATTGCCAATATTAAATTGGTATTATATCAAATTTGTATTTGCATATCTTATGGATGGGTTGGATTTCATAGCTTAATAAAATGCTAACTTTATTGGTTAATCAATAAAAATCACTTTGTTTTAGTATGAGCAGTAACAGTAACCCCATTAATGTTGTAACATTATCATCTTCAAATAGAAATTTTTCCAATTATTTTTCTATAATAAACTCAGGTTCCTAAATAATCTGAACATAATTTTGTATCTTCTATTCAACCTTGACTATTTATTATGCATCCCTTTGAAAAGCTGACACATTCTTTATCTGTTTTAAATATTTTATTATCAGAACATAAACTGGTTCTGCATGAAGAAATGCCTATTGCATTTGAAACATTCAAAAACATATAGTCAATCTTTTATCTATTGTTTTTTGTTTTTTATTATGCAATTTTACAGATGCAACTACTAAAATTTTCTTTATTCTATTCATATTTACAAATTCTATCAAAACCGAAATAAATTTTCAAATACTTGTTGTAAGTATAACAAGGCCGTAACTGTTAAACACAACCTTAAATGTGATAGGATAGTTTCAAATTATTTTAATTATACTCAATGAGATATTATTATATTCAAATAATAAATATTTCTTAAATGTAATTCAACCATAAAAATATTCACCACACTATTTATATTTACATTAACTATTTGAGACAGAGGTGTACTTTCAGATGTCTTACACTCTTTCAAAGATTATTCTGTATATCCTTATCCTTTTGCCATACAACCAATATCAAATATACCACACTACATATCATTATTCAAATCAAGATCTATTCTTATATATAATTAACACAAATTTCTTGAGTTTTCACAATATCTTAAATTTAACTTTCAACACATTTTTTTGCATCTATAAATCCATCAACATCAAAAAATAAATTAAAATGATAGTTTTTGACAATTAAAAGTTTTATTGAAACATAGAATATTGTAATATTATCAAGATATAATATCTATTAAGTTTTATATTAATAAACAATTTCATATTTTGAGCAAAGCATATTTTAAAAATGCTTTAAAGACAAACTTTAAAAATACAAAAGCAAGAAAAAGATTTAATTTTTTTCTTTTTTTATAAACAAATTAATTTCTGCTTTCTAACTGCAATTTTTGGAGTTATCGTTACATTAACATAAACTAAATACAAGATATTTTCAATACCATTTTAACTTTAATATATAAGAATTGTTATATTTTTAATATCTCTATAATTTTCAACATCCCGATTATCTTTTTTAAAAATAATATAGTATCAAATGATAATTCTTGCTTCAATTACTAAAATACTCATAAACATGGCTGATCTTATCAATTATCATGGTTTGACTATGGTTTCAGATATAATACAAACCAATGTTTAAATTTTAATTCTAAGATGATTATACCATTTTGTTAAGGTAAATAATTAATTTTATTTTATTTATTATATGTCTAACAATAACAAAAATAGCAATTATAAAGAGTTAAAAATGATACATCAATGAACTTATTATCATAAATTAATCTTTAATACTAGATCAAATATAAACCATTCTCAAATTATGGATACTTATTATCTTAATAAGCATGTTAGGAAATAAGATTTTTATACTCATAATGTATTTCTAGAGTTTACTAGAGAACTTAAGATAAATGAACTGGGTTCTTTTCTAAACATAAGTATTTGATAATGTATAAAAATTAAATTATGCATTAAAGTAAAAAAGAAATGAATTGTCCATTAGTTTGGTGAAAGAAAATTCATTAAAAGATTAAGAATTTTATGCTATAGAAATAAACTTGAAGTTATTGTAAACCTAGATATCAAGATTTACATCAACCTACCATTTTAATAAATTATTTTTCAAATCATGAGGATGATATTGTTCCGTATTTTAGTAATTAGATTATAAAAATTTACTCATTTTTTATTATTAAATCAAATTTTTCTAATTTATGTTAATCAAATTTTTTTTTATAAAGTATATTTTGATTTTGAATTATATTTACTAATTTATAGTATCTGAATTTTCTTTTCAATTTTCAAATCAAATCTAATTTTACCATAATTTTATGGTTAAAATAAAAATTAATTGTAACTTCAACTAATTATCCTAAATTGAAAATTAATTTCAATCTTGTAATAATTTTTCAATTCAATTTAAAGCAGATTTTAAATGGTAAAATCTAATAGCATTAAAAATTCAAAATATAAATTAAATAGTTTTATTTAAGTAAAATATCTCACATTTTTATGGTAAAACTAAAATATTAACTGGAAAAAGAAATTATAAGATAAATAAATATGATGGACAAAAATAAATTTGAAATCTAATTTGTAAGAAAATTTAATAAGGAGACTTTTAATAATAATATGAATTCCTCTACGATATTTTCTTTTTTTGACTAAATATTTACTGTATTACTTATTTACTATAAGTCTTGAATTAATTTTAAGTAAAATATGAGATAATATCGTGACTGAAAATTCAATTTAATTTTTTTTGATATCTCTCATTTAAATGAGTATATTGATCGAGGAAATTACTCTACTTAGATATTAAATTAATTTAAAAATTTCTTTTATTGAGTATTTGATTAAATTTTTATTGCTAATCATGTCTATGGACCAGCCATGCGGAACTTGTAAATAGTTTTCTTGATTTAACTAATGAAGAATTATAAAGTTATTCAATATTAATGTTATCAAGGGTAATGTTAATGGTTTTAATCTATCTTGGGCTGAAATTAATCAGATCGGGTTAAAAAATACAAATATATCCAAAACTGGTGCGAATTCTTAGATTTTCACTTTCCTTTGTCAAAAAAATTGTTCTACTATCTTACCTTCTGTAAACCTTTTATTCTCTTGATTTCTTCTGAAACAAGCCAAGCCTAAAGTTAATGAGAAACAAGTGAAAATATCAGAATTTCAAAAGCTAAAGTCATAAATAAGAAGAACTAAGATTTTTTTAAACTTTTAAAACCTAAAAGGGGAAAAAATCCTTTGAAAGTAATTGAGAAGATTACTTATTCGATGTTGAGAATACAGTTGATATTATCAATCCAAATCCTCTTAAACAGATTTAAGGTTTGTATTGATTATAATTTAATATTCTAAACTTTCATTATTTTTAATTAGTGATAATTATTATTAGAGAGATAATTTAATTATCTTCAACCTATATTTGAGATCAATTAATTGTAACTGAATTAAAACAATGTATTTTCTTACTCTCCCTCATACAATTTATGGATATTGTGGCAAAGGATGACAATGTTGGACAACTATAAAGAAAGGAAAGGCATCTTAAGAAAGAAAAAATTAAATGGAGGTAATAAATTCAGTCCCATTTAGATAGAAAGAATTTCATATGATATTTTATTTGAATCCTTTATAGTAAAAGGAAATTGTTTTATAAATCAAAAAAGAAAGCGCAGAGATATTATTAAGTTTAAATTAAATTACATTTTAGATGCTAACTAAAATAACTAAATAAATCGAACCTCATTTTCAACCCAAGGTGATATTCGAAAAGGCCATTTCATTAAAATGATTGATTTTTACTCTTAAAATGCATAACATCACATGGTTCATTTG